TCGATTAAACTATGTTTTTTCTGACTTGAACTTCATATCGTGATTTATCATTTTTGTTTTGTTTGTCAATAAGTCAATAGTAACCTCACTCATTTTCGACGTTCTTGGTATTTGAGGATCGTTGTTAGTAAAGGGTCTATCTATATTATGTTGACTCTAGCATTTGTGCAAATATTTCTGGGCTGTGGAAATAGTGAACAAAAACTCCCCTTCTACTTAAGGCATGATCATTTGTTTATTAAATTGATTATTGTTCTCATTTAAGATTTAGGATTGTGCAGTCCTTGTATGCCATGCCTCAATAAATTGTTTATTAAATTGATTATCGTTTGTTTATTAAATGGAGTGCTATATTTTGTGGCAGATCTTGCTGAATAATTTCGCAAGGAATTGCTGATCAGGTGATTAGTGTCTTGCTACTCTATATTCTCAATAGCTAAATTGAGACGATTATTGTACAACTAGGCTGTTTCATACATAGGGTCGATTTCTTAGAACCAAAATAAGCTATAAAACCCCGTTCCCACCATCCTCGTGACTGGAGACCTTGACGACGAAAAAGTTGGGGAAAATGCCTGTAGTAAATTCTTGGTGTTAACCTTGCCTTCTTTTGCTTTGGGGTGGGTAGGGGTAGAATTTAGTCTGTCCTGTAGAAAGCAGAATTTAACCTGCCAACATGTTGGTGTAAAGCGCTTGTTCCTAACATAACTTCTTTATGTACAATTTATTTTTTTATTATATTTTTCTAATGAGGATGAAAGTGTAGATGAGATTGTTCCAACATGAAGAGACAACTTTTTATTATATTCTAGAAAAAGAAATGGGTTACCTTAATGCCGTACAGGCATAATTTGTGTAACCTGGTTTGGTGAATGTCGGAGGAATTCATAGTATGAGCAGATTTTGGATGTATAAATGGATCCCAAAAGATTCAATACACAGCTGATGAACTGGGTTTCTATTTCATCTTGTTCTTGCTTTAACAGAATCCTTGCTTCGTTTGCTTTTTCCTCATAATAAGTCCATTGCTTGAAAAACAATGTTATCCCCAAACTAAAAGAAAGAACAACCACAAATAACAACTCCAAAACTGAAGATTTGTTCTTTAGATAAGAATTTGGTATTTAATTTAGAACCGAAGCTCAGATGGAAGACTGAGTAAATTTGGTGCACAAGGAAATATGAGAGCCACTTCTATAGCAAATCAAGTTGCAAGTGCTACACAATTCTGGGATTTGTCAAAGTGTAGCAGATTTTCTCCTTGCCATATTTGCTTTGACAGGTTTGTTTACTTGCTCAGTTTCTCCCATTTTTGAGGTTACAGTTCCACATTTTGTAAAACTATTTCTTTGTTGTAGGAGTTCTTGTCCCACTAGAAGTCCTTGTGGGGATGCATGTTAATTAAGAATGAGCAAGTGCTTGATATTTAGACAAGAGCAAAGGTATCACCCATGCAAGGTATGAAAACTCGATATATTTATGTCCACAACTTCTAATAGTAAAACCATAGAAACATCTGAGCTGCACAAGTAATTGCATTAGCATTGGAAGAAGATGGGAGGGAGGAGAAGGTGGCAGAAGAAGAGAGAGCACACTCCCAACAAAGGCAAAGATTCTCTTAAGCCAATGGTTGGGTTGTGCTCTCTCTCTTCTGTCAACATCAACCCTTCCTCCTTCCATGTTTGCCTTCAGCTCTTCACTTTCACCATTATTTGCTGCACTTTGAGCTTGACATTCAAACAAAAATGCATAGTCATTATATCATGCATATTTATGAGGCCGGCCTTTATCCCCCCTTTTTTCTTCCTTTCCCTTAATTTTTAGTTTTGAATTTATGATGAAGAAGGTAAAGATACTATGTTTTCTCAAAATATGAATTTTCGCTAACTCGAAACTTTTAGTATTCATGATTGACGATATTTTTAGTGAAAAAGTTCACTAAGAAGGAAAAAAACTATTATAAGCTAATCCATTAAGGTTTTATAACATCGATCAAAAGCTAGAGAGTTCAAATCTATGTAATTACCTGAAAGATTATTGATTTCCCATGGCAGCAAAGCACAAGAATCCCCAAATCACTAAGCAGAGAAGTTGTTTGAAATTCTAAAAGATGAACTAAAAAGAAGCTGTTTCAGAGAGAGAGAATAGAGAGAGAGAAAGGGAATAGGGAGCCAATAGAACAGTCTGTTGTGAAGATAGCAAATGAGATAGTTGTTTTAATTTATAGGAGGAGAAGGGTCAAGTCAATAGCCAATAGTTCAATATTATTTAATTTTTTTGCACTAGATTGCTCTCTCCCTCTCTCTCTCTCTGATAAATGTCAGTACTAATTTGCTACACTTACATTTAGTTAAGATATAACTTACCCATCTGATCGTGACTGGTTAGTAACACATCAATGTATAGATTTTTTTATTTATTTTGCAGGTCACGTTCTTCTTCAAACAAGTTTTACTGCTACTCTCATGTGAAGGTCATGTGTGTGAGATCATTTCTGAATGTTACCACATTACTTGTGGGGAGGAAAAAACTTGTTTGTGAAATCTACCCATCATGTTCAAGGATGAACAAAAATACGAAAAAGAAGAATTAGAACTTTGAGAATGATTCAAATAGATGATCAGGTGTCAAAGACCAAATTGAAGCCACCGACCAAGCTAACTTAGTTGCGAGCAACTTGAACCAACAAAACCGCATGATGGAATAATGAAGGATGCAGTCGATTTGATCCTTGGTACATCCTAGGAACCCGAAGTTGACTGAGAGGACATCTTGTTGAATCTTTAGAATTCATCTAACTTATGTGCGATGATAGGTGGATAAATATTAGATCTAAATTAGGGGAAGAACAAAAATCTCAAGGTTGTGGTACATCAACTAAATGTTGACATAGATTTTAAGCCCATATAGCAGAAGCGATGGACACTCAAAGGACAGATCGTTACTTTATGTGTCATTCTCTAACTCTGCAATAAGTTCCATCTAAGAGAATAGTATCAATGTTATGTGATAACTCAATATCGCATAAGGTTAAGGTATTACTCTCTCATTCTAAAAATATGAGTTTAAGAACGTTCCAAAATCTCAAAATGCATCGTCAATTCTCTAGACATAATTAAACATAACAACTCTGATATAGATCTTTTTTCATATTTATCTCCAACATGTCTGCAAGTCAATTAATAGGTAAAAGTTGTGAATAAAATCACTAGACTAAATTCGAGACAAACTAGAAGGATTAAAATGATCATGAAACTCCTTTTTCACTCTCTCATGACGTAGGAAAAGCCCTCTCTCATCCACCGAATGAAATAATAGACCGTAGGATCAAATTTGACTAATGTCGACCATATGTTCATACCCTAGTAGTTTGCATGTTGTTACAATGTGGATCATGAGGGCATTTTGAAGGCAAAGAGTATCGTGGGCTCACTTGATGGTAAAAATTTATTTCATAGAAATCGATTTTCATCTTTCTGAATAAGATTCGTAAACACAAGGAAGTTGAATACATCCCTATGGAGTTTGATGAACAATTATAAAGATAATCTAATTTAAATTGATTTCATCTTTCTAGAAGAAAATATTAAATGTATGGAAGATCGGAGTCATCCTTATGAGATTTGATTGACAATTCTCAGGATATTTCAAGGTGAACATCACCACCTGCACCTCACATCTCAGCATAGTGGAACGTGTAAACCGCCTACTATCTCATTCAACTACATGTTGTCGTTTTGCAGATGACGTTCTTTCTATTCAAACAAATTTTACCGTTACTGTCACGTGAATGTCACGATTAGTTTATTTATCTTATTATGATAAAATGGGTTATGAATATTTAATTCCGACCATTTTGTAAATTTATGAGTTGGGATTTTGTTTGAAAAAGTAAAGAGATTCTCCAAAAGCTTTCACTTTCCACCATTAAAGGAGAGGCTTCTCCATTTTTAGTTATCCATTACTCCTCTCATCAGCCAAGGCAAAGCAACAGCAGAGCAATATAAAAGGGAGGGAAGATGGTGACCGGCTACTGCAGGTTGATGTGGGCCCCAAATACCGTCTTATTCCCCAAAACTTCCAACTGTGAGACCCCATTCCAGTCGCGCGTGATGCCACTTTCAGGTCATCAAAATGGAAGCTCCCTCTCTCTCGCTTTCAGAATATCCTGGCCGTTGATTTCCTAGCTGCAGATACTCCAAATAATTATATATAAATATCTAATTAATAATAAATAAATAAATAAGAAGGAAAGAAATCTATTTAAGCATTTTCCCCTTTAATTAATCTATATAATTTAAGATTAAGTTAATTGCCATTTTTTATTTTATATTCTCGAGTTTTTTAAAGTTATGCTCATACTCTTAATTTTACCTTTACAGTTAATACCCGTTTCAAAAATATTTATCAACTTTTAAAAATAACATTAAAAATTTAGAGATAATTTATGAGCGGATTGTTTTCATCTATATATTGATGGTAAAATAAATAAAAAAATTAATTTTTTTTTAATAAAAGGAAAATGTGTTAATACTAATAACGAACGTATTTTTTAATATAATTCCGTCTCTAACCTCATTTATTTAGAGAAGTCTCTCTCCAACTCGTCCTCCCATTTCCCGTCTAAATGGAAATCTAACTCTACGAGTTAAATGAACCTCTCTACTTTTGTTATTGAAAAATATAATTTTTCTTTTAGAAAACACTAATTAACTTTATAATTAAAACTAATGATGTGTATATATTATTATTTTTTTTTAAAAAAAAACATGTTTATTTTATTTTTATTATTTTGATCCATACATAATTACAAATTGACCCTTTTAATTTGAAATAAATTAGAAATTAAAGTTATAAGAATGAGATTAAAATCATTTTTTTTTCAAATAAAAAAAACCAAATTTATAATTTAACCGAGGAACTTATTAATATTTAACTTAAATTTTTTTATTAAATAATATGTAAAATTCTATATAATGAAAATAATTTGAGAGAATATGCAAAAATTAGGTCAAACAAAATGTAATTGTAATTTTAAGTATTAAGAAAAATAAATTAGAAGCAACAAATTATTTTTTAAAAAAATGATGAATTGAAATAATGTGAGAGCGAGGGAGAGGTTCGTGCACTGCACGTGACTAAGGCTTGGAGCAAAACTGTTCCTCCACCATCCCCAAACTTCTTCATCTCCCACGATCTTCAAACTGTCTGCGAAAAACTGATTCAGAAAACTCTCTTAAATGATCTTCGACGATGATTCAGAAATCGGAATCCTTACATTTTGATCGTCTATGGCGGCTTCCGTTTTAGTCCGCGAACTCCCGCTCTTGTCTCTGCTATCCATCGCTCTTGCTGCAGCGCCGTTGGTTTCTTCGCGTCACTTCCGCGTCGGCGAAAACAGAGGCTGGTCGAACCCTAATGGAAGCGGAAACTACACCGAGAGCTTCAACTTTTGGGCCTCACAAAACCGCTTTCATGTTGGCGACACTCTCTGTAAACTCACATCCACCTAATAATTCCTTTAATTCAACTCACACTTTCGAAGTATTATTACCTCATCACTTTTCGATCGATCGATCGATTCGATTTTCGCAGATTTCATGTACCGAAACGACTCGGTTCTGGTGGTGAACTACACGAATTACAGAGACTGCATCATCTCCGATCCGGTCGCGAAGTTCGACAACGGAAGTGGCAACGGCACCGTTTTCCGATTGGATCGAGACGGAGATTTCTATTTCATCAGTGGAGATAGAGAGCATTGTGAGAACGGACAGAAATTAGCGGTGCGAGTGATGAATGATCATGATGAAAGTTCGCCTTCGCCTGAGGGATTGGAATTGTGGAATTGGGGACCGCCGTCGTTGAACTCGACGGTGAAGGCGACGTTGGCGTCGTATTTCGCGACGGCGATCGGAGGTTTTCTCATTGTTCTGTATTTACTCACTTAGGGTTAGGGATTTGGAATTTGATTTATTCGCTGTTATGTTCTCCACTTAGTCCCATGTAAATATTTTTAAATAAAATAAATAATATTTTATTTTAAATTTATAATCAAATGAATAATATTTGAGTTTAATTTAATTATTGTAAATAAAGTATTTTTTTACTTTAATATTTAAATGAATTTAGTCGTTTTTAATATATTTTTTTTAGGTTAAAGGCATTATTGTAATTTTTTTTAAATAATTAAAATATTTTTTAAATGGAAGAAAAAATTAGTTGGGTATTTTTTAGAATTTACTTAAATAATAATAATAATAATAAATAAAGGACATCAGTACTTTTGAGAGAGACGCCGTGCCAGACGTCTTCACCGCCTTGTGGCTCCACTCACCAGCGCTTCAATGGCCGCTTCAGAGCTCGAAGTTGCGGTGTTTATCGATACTGATTTCGGCACCCATCTGGCCGTCGCTGTTCCGCCGCACATCGCCGCCGGAGCTTTAAAGAGTGAGCCAAAAACCTAATGAAAAATATCTGCACTTCACTTTTCCTCTTTATTTTATCTCCGATTATAAACGGTTCATTTGTTTATGGGTTTTTTTTTTTCCTTTTTTTCTCTCTTTTGTTGGAGAAGAAACCCCTTTTCATGAGATTAGTGTATCTGTTTAGGGATTTCGATTTTTCATCTGTGTTTGAAAGGCTTTATGTTTCTGTTTATAGATTCTGTGTTTCATTTTTCTACAATGTTGAGATTTCTGCTGTTTACTTTCCAGTTAAAGTTATATTTTGTTTGTTCATTATGATTGTTTAAGGAATTGAATTGTTGAAAGAAGATTCTGGGTTCTCTTTTGCTCTGTTCTTGAAGATTTGATTTCCAATGTTCTTGGCTAGTTTCAATGTCTCTTGTCCCTGCTTCCATGACTTCATTGATCATCCTTTTATCTCTCATTCTGTTGAATAAAAGCTCTTTCTTACAATTTCATAGTTGGTTTTGTCATTTACTCAAAACCTAAGTCAAGTTTGAAGAACCAAGAGAAGTAATCTTTAAATGATTAGAAAAGAAACATAAATTTCTATATGACTGACATAAGATTCGACTTGTTAGATATTAGGGAGGTTTAGTGAGCACCATGCAGAATCTCTCTACCATTTCCTTCTCTTCACTTTGGCCAATATGAGTTTACCTGGTACTAGCTAGCTTTATCGGGAATTTTCTATCTTAGTAGGAGCTTTCCAAAGATATGGCTTAATAGCCACATTACCCACGCTTGGGATGACTTTAGGGGTGGCGTATTCCCTTTGGCTAATCATTTTGGGTTTTTTTTGGCTCCTTTTGTCTTTGGCTTTCCTTTTTGTATTTCCTTTGCCTACTTGTTCAGGCTTCTCAATGAACGCTTCGTACTTTCTTTCTTACTATATCATATCATAGGCCTTTTGTCGGGCTTTCGTCCCTTCGCCTCCTTCCTGACTTTTCAGAGAGGCCCTTTACGACTATAAGGAAGAGGGGGCTGTTCCTCTTTGTCAACTTAGCTACTTAATACTCAATACTTAAGTCAAGGTGAACGTCATTTTGAGCTGTGAGGAGGCAAGCAAATGAAGGGAGGCATTACGGGCCGGGTTTTCTCCTCCAAAAAGAAATGGGGAATTCTATGATATGGCTAATGGTTTTGATACGCTTGGATAGGTATGAAGTTTGGAGTTAAGAAGATTGCCTTTATGTATGTGTTATATGATTTGTTAAAGTTAGTATGCGTATGAACGTCGAGGTTCATGAACTTGGGTTCGTGTAAAATGGACTTATATAGCCAATGGGATTAACAAATCCTTCTTGTGAGGTAAGCAACCCGGTTCGGGTTAGGAAGTTTGAATTACTGCTACATTAGCTTATGGCCAGTTGGAATGACTTTCTAGCTTCTTAAGAAAGCGCTTGAAAAGTCATTTCAAACACGATCTTTTTGTTGTTCATGCGCTCAAGGACTCTCGAGCTTGTGGGCTTGTACCATGTACAAAATTACGTGTATGTTGTCTGTAATGGATTTATTGTTTAGTCTGCTGATTACAGAATTTTTTCCAGGGGAAGTTGAGAGAGTACATTTTAAGTGTTTCCCAAATATAGGAGAGATCAAGGTGGATGGATTCATGGTGTGTTTGTAGATTGTTTTCATTTGTTGTCATGTTTCAGCATCATCTTTCAGATCTTGTTCTAATTTGTGTCATTTCCTTTCCTTTAGGTGAAGCAAAACTCGAACTTCTACCATTTGCCCGACACGTTGCTTACCAAACTCACTTCCCAGGTGGAATCAGTGCAGTTTCTTCATGTCAAAGCACAGCCTTTGAATGAGTTTATCGAGCCTCGTTTACCCGAAAATGCCGATTGTTTCCCCAACCTAAACAATGCCACTTACCCTTCGGAAAGACAAGGCTACTGTAGACACTCCTGCACGAGTAAAATCAGAATCGACAACAAGAAACGGACAAGAAAGATACTAAGATCAGTCAGCACCAAAAGCATCATCTTAGCTTGTAATACAAGGAGAAAAAGGAAGAGAACCCAGGTTTTAGAGCATGTGGAAAAGAACTCCGATCTAGAGGAACCAATCAAAGATGCAGAAAAGTTCGATGGCTCGATCGATACATCGTCGTACCATAATATGCCAAATGATGAGGTTAGAACCACAAAACAAAGGTATGCAAGCTCCTCCACAACCAGTGAGTTATCATCTGAAGTCATGTCTGTTTCAAGTATCATAAAGAGATATTTTCCAAGCCACGATGAAGTAAGCAGCGTTCCAAATCGACCGAGCGGTGGCATTACTCGTAGTGAGCCAGAGGAAAGAAGCCCAAGCTTGTTGCCTTTGAAATCGCCATTTATAGCAGGTACACAAAAGCGTGAGAGATCATCTAAGCTTGGGAAAATGCTGGTAATGGCTTCATATAACCTTGGGATTTCTCCCAACGGAGGAAGGCCAGAAATTTCACTCTGCAATTCCAGAGGTAAAAAGTTTAAAGAACTCATGTCTCTGGCTAAAAGTTCTTGTTTTGAGATAAGTGATAGAGAAGATTGAAATTTTAGCATTAGATTTCTCTGTATTGGATGAAAAGTGTATACATATATATCCATCCATTCCATTGGTCTAACTAGGTCGGGTTGTATCGGGTTAGGTTTAATTCAAATTTAGAGCATTTTTTTCAGTACAAAAGAGGTAGGTTACAGAGATTTGGACTTTCGATCTCGGAGGGAGTACGTGTTAATTGAATTATGTCAAATTTGGTGTTAAAACCGTCATATTAGTTTAAGAGAAAACAAAACAATGCAAGAATATTTTTTTCCGTTGAACCAACCTAACAAAAAAAAAAAAAAAAAAAAAAAAA